TTTTTTCCGGATTGATGGAAGGAAAAAAAGGTTTAGCCGTTTATAATCCAAAAATTGTATGTGTTATAATCCATGACTTCAGTGATTTTAGACATTTTTCTTGGGATACATAAAACACAGGATATAATACACAAGAACGTAATAATCGGTCAAATATTAAAAATAATTATAACTTATTTCTAAAATATTTTTGTTTCTTTTTAAAAAATATGCTTTCACGTTATACTTTTTGCCCCATCGAGGGATTTTCGCAGAACAAATCGGAGTTTATTTTTAGATCGACATCAGTTCGCACTCGAATTGATGAGCAAAGCAAATCGCATGATGTTAAAATGTATATCATTGTATTTTTTTTATTCCATTGCAGATAAAATTCTGTTTTCAAATGTATTATTTTTACGATTCATACTGCTTCTCTCGCCGTTTTCCTTGACAACCGAGAAGGCAATCGTTTCGTTATAAGTAATATACCTAAACTAATGTTATAATCGTGATAACAATATTCGTTTTTTCTACCTACTCAAGGTAAGAGAAGGAAAGGGGAACCCTATTTACCTATATACAAACTGAGGTAAATGCACGAGTTACCCATTCCCAAATGTTACCACCCAACCACTGGTTATAATATTGGCTATATCATGTTTGTCGATTGCTTTGTTTCGAAATGTAGATTCATAATAATATTATTATATTTAATTTCATTAATTTTTCATATTATACTAAGGTATATAAGATATATTTTATATATCTAAATTAGATATTTAATATATTTCTCATCTTATCTATGTTAGATAATCTAATAATATATAATATGTAATATTATATATATATATGTAAGTACTACATCTTTAAACCATTGATTAAATATACTTAATATTAATATATTTAATCAATGGCTAAACTTTCACCTATATCCTCCACCTTGCATGTACATTGTATCTAATACCTATAATATATTTGTTTGGTCATTAACAATTCCAATGAATATGCAAATCCGATCAAGCCCATAGCTAGATCAATTCTTCAGGGGTGCAAACTGAGTAATAGAGGGGGGGAGGCATTAGAAAAATAATTAAAAACCATTTATCTATATTCTAATAATTTAATAATTTTTAATTATTTTTCTATAGATATATATTATTGTACTATTTAAAAAACCAGGTAAGAATTTTGTATAAAAGTGATATATAGAGGTACCTATCACTTTTATAATAATTATTTTTCCTAAACATTTCGAATTTTGTTAGGTTTTTTTAATTGAATTTTCTTTATAAAATTTCAATTTTTTCAGACTTTCATATACCTAAATTATTACTTAATGTGCACATTATGTTTTTAATTAGTTCGTGAAATTTGATATATGTACCAACCTGGTGCCCGGATTAAGTTCCACCGAAAAAAAACAAACAAAATCAAGATTATGAAAAAAACTACAAAAAATGGATTTTTCATGACAACTTTCTCTTTGAAGTGTTTGATAGTGAATTTTAAAAAGTTATTTTGGTTCTAATTTTATATAGAGGGTGATTCACTTAAAAATTCCAAGAACTAATATTTGAATATATGCAAAATGTAATCAAAAAAATGGTTTGAGCATGTTTGGTAAACCACGGTGTATAAATTTGTTTACCTACATTCAAAAAAAATAACGTTTTCTACTTTCAGGTACATGAATAGCTTATAACGTATACTAATATTATTCATATATAATAACCAATAAGTACCTAATACAAATTTAATAAAATATTTACATGGTGATTAATTTATCTTTAAACATTCATTATTTTGGAAAGTATTAACTTTTTTTTTTCGGAATCTGTATAATAGAAAATTTAAGAAACAAGCTTTACAATTTTACATTTGCATTGTTTTAGTTGACCTAATTTTTGGGGGTGAAACGACTACCTATTTTTAATTATTTAAACAGCAACCTATATTAAAAATCCTATAAATAGATTTTGGTGTTGAAATTTTCAATTTCTGCCAATCTGTTGAGATATTTCAATAAATGTTACCATTTGAAAACCAAAAGTAAATAGTCGTTACACTACTCAAAAATAAAGGCGACTAAAAAAAATATTATAATATGACATAGTAAGACTGTTTGCTTTCAAAAAAAAAAATTAAAAAATAGTCAATTACTTTCCAAAATAGTGAGTGTTTAACGTTAAAAGAATCACCTGGTATAGGTGTCTATATGCGCAAAACAACTTTTCAAATACACTTTTTATTCAAATTTCAGACGTATATCTTTGAAATTCACTATCTGTCAGTCCTTAGCCATGTAAAGTATGAAGGGAAAGTTGTCAAGAAATAGTAATCCATTTACTTTATAGTTTCTTTATTATACAGAATTTTGTTCTACAAGAGTATAGTGAGACTAACTATGTTGTATGGTTCGAAGTGTTGAGCGATAAACAGAAGAATAAGTGTATCAGAGACAAAAATGTTTTGGTAGATGAAATTAGACGTGGCTTTTATAGTGGATAAAATGATAGAAAATAGACTCAGATGGTTTGTCAGATAAGCATGTCATGATGAAAGAGAAAACAAAATCAGTAAGAGTTGTAATGAAAATAGACATAAGAGGAAAGAGGGGCAGATGAAGACTGAAAAAGTGGTGGTTGGATGCGATTCAGAATGATATGAGGATGTAGGGTTTATAAAAGGACAATGTCAAAGATCAGGTTAAGAGGAAGTTTAAGACAAGAGTGGCCGACACCTAATAGTTTTGATGAAGGGGAAGAAGAGAAGAAAAATAATTCATTATACTTACATAGCTACATATATATTATATGCACATATGTGTAGATACCATAGTGTGTATATCTAAGTACTCCATAATATTTCTACTTTTAAAAAATCAAATTTGAATTCACATAGGGAATCTTAAACAGTAAACTGATATTCAGAACATTTGTTGACTATTTGTTAATGTTTCATTGTTTGTCTTGATGTTAAATAACATATTTTGTATTTATGGTTTTTTTTTTTCTGTTTTGTTATTATTATTTCTATTTAATTTTTGATTATTGCATTGAAATTAAATTAATATTTAAAAATAAATTTTTCTTAACAGCTACTGCAGCCAATTTGAGAAAAGAAGTAATCAGAAATAAGATCAGGGCAATTGGAAAAATGGCAAGAGTTTTCTCTGTTTTAAGGTAAACCATAGATTTGTTATAGTTTATATTAAATAATATAAGTTACTTATCCCACTAAAATCAATACTGTGAAAAAGGGCCAAGTTTTGTACACAAAAAATGTTGGTCAGTTTCGTCAAAAAAAGATTTTACATCTAATTGCTAATTTTAAATTAAAATTTAAGTTTAACAAAATTGATTGCTATGTCTAAATGTTTGACTTCACAAATAGTATTATTTAAATGCTATATTTATAAATTATTGTGTGTGTAAACATAAAGACATTTTTGTATAAATAAAACTAACCCAGTCAAAAAATTAGTAGGTAGTAAGCAAACATTTTTCTGAAAAATTTGGACTTGGCCCCTTTTAGCATGTTTGTTTTTGGTGGGATATCAATACTATTTATAATGCTAGGTACATTCTACTTCAATATAACAATATAATATATGTTTGTCCTTCATGGCTCCATAATAGAATAATTATATAAATTCCAAAGTGATTTATACTATTGGCGTGGTAGTGTCACAGTAGTCAGCATGATCAATTATTCTAAAGAGACTGATATTCCTTTATTCAAAGTTAGATTTATATTAATTTTAAATTTTTTCTATAATTATCAACATTATCACTAATTACGTATGTTCCAAATTCCAAATATTTAGTTTGTTAAGGAAGTACCTTAGATTTATAATCTCTCATTAAGTCAGTGAATGCACAAAATTGTAATTTTAAACATTTATATCTTGATAACTATTACACCTACACAAACAAAATTTGAAATACTGCTCCTTTTTTTGGAATTTAAAACACTTTAACAAAATTTAGACCTTTAAAATAACTATCCTCAGATATAAATGGAATGAGTTCAAAAAAGCTCAAAATCGTTTATGTACATATTACAAAATGCTTGATTGGTCAACTTGGCCTGGAGAAATGTTGTAGTACTCTGATATTAATATAATAATTATTACAGGGAAGAAAGTGAAAGTGTTTTACAGTTGAAAGGATTGACCCCAACTGGGGCTCTTCCTCTTGGAGCACTGTCCGGTGGCAAAACATCACTGAAAAATGGTAAATGGTTATTTTGATTTCAAAACTACCTATCCGGTTTTAATGTTTTATTGGTATTATTTGTAGCGCTTCAAGGCTTTTCGCCTAATCATAAGATTACATCATTCGCTGAGGCAAAGGGTCTTGATGCAATTAACGAAAGAATGCCTCCCCGCAAAGACACACCACCATCCAATCAGTGCTCGCCATCTAATGTAGCTACATCATCAACGTCACCAGTAACACCGGTAATTGAAGAGAAATCGCCTACTACATCGACCGCTCAGAAATCAACATCATCTGAACAGCCATTACCAAACACCCATTCATGATTGCCATCAGTCTAAGGTAAGACATATTAGTATATAATAACTACACTGTATTTTATTTTATACCTATATAAATTGTAAAAATTTAACATATAATGTTTTTTTTAAAGGTTTCAGATTATCTTTACCAGGACCTATCTACTGTTATCTCCTTATTCTACAGCTTATTCAATTTAATACCTACTACAATTATAATATTATATTATATTCATTGCGATGATAATTTTTTTTTTTTTTATTATTATTATTATTAAAATATTTGGCACCTTTAAAAAAAAAAAAAGTTCCTGGGGACAATTATGTCAATATAAATATTAATGATATAATTTTTTTTTTTTTGTAAATTATTGTCTAATATTTCTACGATTTTATTTGCTGTTTTTGTTGTTATTTTGTTATTTTTTTTTTTTTTTTTTTTTTTTTTTTTTTAAT